CAAGAGGTAGTGTTACAAATACCATAAAATGTCAATTCAAAGCAAGCACCACAGTGAAGGCAGTTCTTTCCAGATTCAAGTGCCAAAAATATATGGGATAGCTTTTGGCAACTGATACTGCTTGCATCTGATGGGCAAAACATGGATCCAGAGCAGTCAAAATAAAAATCTACCTCAAACTCCTTAATTTAAAAAATTTATTTGATCTCTAAAAAACTTATATATGGTACTTGGTATGTTCTAAGGGTTTACATATATTGACTCATTTAATCATCATCACAATCTTATGAGGTGGATATTACTATTAACTGTTTTACAGATTAATAATTAATAATTAAAGTACATACTGCTAATAAATTGGAGGTAGAATTTGAACCCAAGCAATCTAGCTTCACTATCCATACTTGTTATTTTAAATTCTCCCTCACACTGCTTAAGTAATGCTTCCAAAGGTACGTCTTATCTACTCAGTGACTGCTCACTGCCCTCAAGATAATGTCCAAAGCCTACCATTTTGCAGTACAACATCTGTTGTACTACTTCACTTACAAAAAATACTAAAAGGCTTTAAAATAACACATTTGCTGATTTATGGTCTAAATTATTGTCTTACAGATATTGTGGTTAATTACTTGTTTCTATACGGGCATATAAAGTAAAAAGTTCATTTATCAAATTACAGACATCAAATAATTTCAGCTTTCCAAGGGTATAGGTTCCTGAACATATGTTTCTATTTTAGTGTCAATGACAAAGAGTTGATCATATACGACAGGGGTCAGCAAAATATGGCCTGCAAGCTATTTCTAATTCTTAAAAAGTTTTTACAGTCATTTAAAAAATGATTTTAAAAGCAATCAAAAGGGTATTTAGTGACACATGAAAATTATATAAACACGGCCAGGCATGATGGCTCACGCCTGTCATCACAGCACTTTGGGGGGACAAGATGGGCTTGTCACCTCAGATCACTTGAGGCCACGAGTTCAAGACCAGCTTGGCCAACATGGCGAGAACCCGTCTCTACTAAAAACACAAAGAATTAGCAGAGTGTGGTGGCACATGACTGTAAGCCCAGCTACTTGGAAGGCTGAGGCATGAGAATCGCTTGAACCCAGGAGGCGGAAGCAGTGAGCCAAGATCATGCCACTGTACTCCAGCCTGGGTGACAGAAAGAGATCTTGTATCAAAAAAAAAAAAAAAAAAAAAAAAAATTACACACACACACACATATACCCTCACATTCTAATGTTCATAAATAAGGTTTTATTGCAACCCAACACACACATTTGTTTATTGCCTGTTAAGGGTGCCTTTGTGCTAAAATGGCATAATTGAGTAGCTGGGACAGAGACCATTATGGTCTGCAAAGCTACATTATTTACAGAAAATAGTGGCTGAGTCCGATATAGAAAAAGATTGCATTCAGAAAAAAGATACCAAAAAAAGTTGCTTGATTCTGAAGATGGAACTGTTGGTCTAAAAATACATTAAAAAGGGAGGGGTGCAGCTATTTTTAAAATATCAGAATACAATGCAAAAACTCAAAATTTTTTTTTTTTTTTTTGAGACGGAGTCTTGCTCTGCCGCCCAGGCTGGAGTACAGTGGCCGGATCTCAGCTCACTGCAAGCTCCGACTCCCGGGTTCACGCCATTCTCCTGCCTCAGCCTCCCAAGTAGCTGGGACTACAGGCGCCTGCCACCTCGCCCGGCTAGTTTTTTGTATTTTTAGTAGAGACGGGGTTTCACCGTGTTAGCCAGGATGGTCTCGATCTCCTGACCTCGTGATCCGCCCATCGCAGCCGCCCAAAGTGCTGGGATTACAGGCTTAAGCCACCGCGCCCGGCCTAAAAACTCAAACATTTTTAACTCAGCACAGGATGGTGTGACATGTCTAGTCTATCCTTAATGAATTACATTATTGACAGAGTCTCTGATGGACAATCAACGGCCATACAAAAATATGAAAATCTTCCCATTACATTTGTCTTCACAGAATTGACTAAAAAACAAAAACCAAAATCAAACAAACAAACCAGATGGGTAGATAAGAATTTTATGTTGCTTTAAAGCCCTAAGAAGAGAAATTTGATGCAATCCTAGGGAAAATAGTAGTTGGTTCTCCACATGTATTAAGAGAGGCCAAACATTTGTGCTCAGTTAAGTTTCTATACCAGTGTTAAACTCAGCTTTCCTATTTGATCTTTTAAAAAAATGTTTGTCTTTATCACTATATATCATGGTATCCAACCAAACTGCATTATTGCCTTAAAAGAAAGTCAAAAACTGTGACTTCAAGAAATAATCTAGCTTTGGTCTTATATCTTCCAGTAGCAGGAATTACTGAAGATGCTTAATAACTATGTATTTCAAAGTTGAATAGACTATTAATTTAAATGTTTAATAAAACAAGTTAACCCAAATAACTGTCTTGTCCTTCGGCTTATATTGCCAACTAAAAATATCAACAGTTAATTTGTTCAGGATTTATAGAAATTTTTACATTAAAGACTTACAGCTGTAATCAGTGATAGCAATATCAATATAGAATGGTACAGTTACCTGCATGTTCAATTATAAGTTACAAACTTTACCAAATGTATTTTCTTCTTTGTCTTTTAATAGGATATTTTATCCTTAAATAAAAAAAACTTCTGATAGAATAATCTTTGAAAATATTGTTTTAAAGTATAAGCAATTTATTTAGATAAGTATATCCCCCACTGGATTTAAATCATTAGCTGGATTTTAGTTTATGAATAAAGTGGATTTCATTATCTTTAAGTAGTGTTGTAAGTAATGAAAATACCAAAAATAGAAAAAAAAATGAGGAAATGAGATGTGCAACAATAAAGTGAAGACAATAAAAAGAAAGAGTAAAGTGAAATTCATTAATATTTTTCTTATCATTTCCTTGCCATATTTCCCTCTCACTTAGGTTAGAAAGTCTCCTGTAGACATATGGGATCCTAAGGGAAGATTTCACCATTGTCAAACATACTGCTGGAAACGGAATATGTGACCACAGTTTTATAACAGCACTATGCATCCAGGTAAACCAAAATTTCACAGTACACATGCAGATTACATATAAGTACTTAAATAAATATGTTTTAATCAACATTAAAAATGAACAAAGTTCTGAAAATTTTTACAGACTATTTCAATGTAAGAAATGTCTCTTATATTACCACCAAACTATGGCTGGAACCACATTTTGTGCCTTTGTGTTAATTAATGACAATTCTTTTCTACAAAATTATTATTTCAAAATTGAAATATATTTACATCAATGCTGTAATTAATCACAGACAAAAACAAAATGTTAAAAACTTTTTCAACTTACCCCAATTATGTCTTTTACAAACACTAAAACAGTCTTAGTAACACAAAATACACCAACTTGACTAAATTACATGAGTTGTAACTGTATCCCCTTTAATTTTCAGTCTTAGACCATCTATCATTGGAGAAGCTCAAAAAGTTACCAGAGATTAATTTCTAAATTATGTATGATACCAAACAATTTTTATTATGTTTGAAAATATTACTGCCATTTTGGGACAATAAAATAAGAATGGCCTACAGTGTTTCTACTTTGACAATATACAAATGATACCCTATAGAAATAAATAATCTTAAATACTAAAACATACCTTGCCATGAGGGTCAGCAAACATTCTTGTGAAAATTTCACATAATCTTTTCAGTTCAACTCGACTGCCAAAATAATACAGCGGTTA